TAGCAGCTAAAAATACTTAGGCTTTTAATCTTTTTTTTCTTCCTTATTGCTATTGATTTCTACTCTATCCAAGTTTAACCTTGGGGTTAATTTTTCATTTAGGTACAYTGTTTATTTCCTGCATATAATTAACCTTACTTGATGTGTTTCTATCCACGATTTCATTTTAATGAGAAATATTTAATGACGCTGGATCCCTTATTGACAGTTTTGGGCATGACTCCTGTTCTGCCTTTTTGGAAAGATGTGCATCTTTGTGTGTGTATTTGTGCTTGCACACGTGTGCAATCCGGTGTTTCAGAAGCTGTTTAATATTCCACCTTGAGCTCCACATATCAATGCAGCGGTGTCACATAGAATACTTGGGAATTCAGAGGTTAGCTCTTGCCTGCGAGGACACACTGTCACATCAAAAGTACTGAAAGACTGACATTCAGAAGTTCATGTCAGGTAGGTGTAATTGGCTAATGGAAGGGTGTGTGTACAAATAAGACATGTATTTACAGAATAAGGTAAAGCATGATAAAATGACMAGGAAAAGTACTCCTAAGAGTTGGGGTGTATTTGTTATTCTGTCTTAAACCATCGTTGTCTCTCGATAATTATGTTCTTTGTATCATTTCGTTCTGCTCTAGAAGAGTCTGAGGATCAGTAGCCACTGAAGGATACGGCTCAGTAACAGTAAATTAATAGCAGAAAGTAAATGTTGCTCAACCTCTTTGTCCTCAGAAGTGTTTGAAAACACAGAAAGARCCTTGGCGATAGAAGGTACCAGTGGTCTTACTATATTTGAAAAGCAGCTGTAAATTTGCACTTTTCACAATTTTTAATTAAGGTTTCCAAAGAAGTGATTTATTATGGCATTATTAGTTGATGTAGATGGATGCATTTTCATGAGCTATGTGACTTTTTTGCCACTCAGTGCTAATTAACAGTTTCTTATCCCAGCATGTACAGTACACACCATTGGGTAAATAAAATGTAGCTTTTGTTGAACATATTTAAAGTGATCAATTTTTCAATAATACTATCCTCTACAATAACTTTACTTACAACTTATTTTCTTTTCTTTGTTTTTCAAGTACTATGGAGCTTCTGGACAAAAGCAGGCAAATCAAAAGTATTTGTGGTATACAGATGTGATTTAATCAATATAGTGCCTTGTTTTCTTCTTTTTTATTTTAAATGATCATTCAGATTTGTAAACTGGGTTGTTTTTGAAATGTTGCTTCTCTGTGAGGCTGTACATGTAGATGTGATGTGTAAATAAAGCAAAGCAGCAATTAAAAAACAGCATGATATATCTCAAAGAAGGCATTTTTGATAATAAAGAATAAAGGCTGAGGTACAAGAAATGAAGGCACTAAATAAGGGGTAGAGTGGACACATTAATGTTGAGGAATATGACTTCTTGTTAGAAGGCYAATGTGATGGAGATAACTCGACATGCACTTWGAGTACACTTGAACTGTTCGGACTAAAATGGTTAAATGTGTGGGATTTTAATGTGAAGTGCACAATCAATAGGTGCCCCGTCCTTCACTGAGTAGGCACATATAGGTCCTGGTTATTTTTGTCTTTATCAGTATATTAGGTTGAAGACTAATTGGGTGTGCTTTTAAGAATTTAAATTTTTCATTTATGAAAATTAGGTACATTTCGTCTCCAGGTTGATCTATCTTCTGTTTTCATTATTTTGTAACTGGCTTTAAGACAAACAGATGGAACAACACTTAAAATAAATTGACTGAATATGTGTGTACCCTGCCTCTCGCGCAATCAAATTCTGATTCAGACCGTAAAAGTGAACTCCGGTCCGCCTACAAACCTAGGCCTCGGATCGGTTGAAGTGAACTCTGGTGCGGTTTGAATTCATGTGTGAATGCCAAGCAGACCATAGACTGCTCCAAAAGCAGGAAGCGGGCTACAGCGCATGGGTTTTTGAGTATTAATCATAATAAAATTACTCATWTACTGTACCTTGGACATCACCACTATGAAGTTAGACGCGCTCCTACCTGGTGCATGTCGCCTCTTATGTCACCGTCTCAGCCTTTGTGTGAAAAACATTCTTCAGTGTCTTGTTAAGAGTTTTTCTACTCACTTCCCTCACTGGTTCTTGGTGCAGCGCCACCACAGGTGAGGAGGTAATCAGGTTGCTCAAAGGGTTTTAGTTCATTTGGCACAGTGCAGTGCGAAAGTGAACCACACCAGCTGAAAATATTGAACTGAGGCTACCGGACTAGCAGGTTTGAAAGCACCCTTAGTTTTGACCAATTTCAACTTCTTCAAAATAAAAAAATAAATAAAAGTAACAGAATTTAGATTTAAACATGACACATTTTTTGGCATTCTAGAAAAAATAGTAGTTCGTAGCAACAGCCTTTTTACTTCCCCATTATATAACCAAGGAGAATCTATTTGACTAAAGACATTACTTGCCAAATCCTGAGTGAGCGTATAGATTAGCTTTCCAGAGCAACCCACTCTTACTCCTAAGTCGTCACATATTGACGCTTTTCCAAGGTTCCCTCTGCGTCCGATTTTGACGCGTTGGGTACACCCCTCGCGTCAGTTATTGATGAGATGAGGCGGAATCCGTTGTCACAATGTCAGAAAGTGTAGATAATGGACCAAAACTACCGTCCCAAAGCCTAAAATTACCTTTATTCACTCTAGACATGCTGTCCCTGACCATAGTACCTAAAATTAACCATTAGCCCTGATCCCTAAAATTAACCATTTTTAGAACTTGTAGGAAATTCACGTGAACTACGTGTTCCAAAGCCTAAAGTTACATAAAATTTGCCCTAGACATCCTTTCCATGACTCCACTACCTAAAATTAACCATTAAACCTGATCCCTAATTTTAACCACAGACCCCAAGTCAAAGACCTCCTATATTTTGCGTCCCAACGCGTCAAACCTGGAAGCTGAGGGAACACGGAAGTGCCTGGTGCGTCAAAAACTAACGCGACTGGTGTACCCGACGCATCAAGATAAGACGCAGAGGGAACCTTGGAAAAGCATCAATACTGAATGTGACGAGTCGAGAGTGAGAATGTGTTATCCAGAGAAAATGGCTAATGTACAGTAAACTGTAATAAAACCACTAGAAAATATCCCACCTCTAATCTTCTACGTTTTACCTCCTGGAAACCTGTCCCCAGTTAATGGGGTTGTGTTCGTTAACAAGCCTATGAAGACTCCGTCARCAGCTTTATCACAGCAACGCACAGACACTCACGGTTTTATCAGGCCTCTCTATGGCAGTGACAGCAGACAGCTCTGCAATTAGTGACTCATAGGAAGGCAAAGAGGCAAGCAGCAATATTACACGTTGCCTGCTGTGTCTGAACACCAAGAATACCAATGCAGTGGCTGTTGTTCACACAGAGGCGCATACATTTATACCTGTTGGCTTCACAGTGTGCACAGCCTCAGACCTTCTGTGGTGTGAAGTGTGTTCAGAGTGCAGCTGTCCTCATTATTAACAGCAGTGTTGGCTTTGGTATTGTGGAAGAGGGCAGCTTTGCTCGGCCAGCAGTCACAGCAATTTACAGGTCTGTCAGAGAGAGAGAGAGGTCGACCAGAGGAGAGAATTAAAAAGCATTTACAGCTGTAAAATAGACTGCAGACGAGGAGATTGAGCTGCCGCTTGACGTATGTGTTCATGTTGACCTTACTGCAGGGCTGGTATTGTGTTGTCCTGAATGTATTTGCTTTATTATTCAACACTCAAAAGCAGGAACATCTGAGGTTGCCAGCTTGGCATGATGTGTGCATATCATCGGTTTAAGTAGAACATTTTTTTTACATTTTCCAAGGTTTAGTAATAGACTGTCTGGGAAGGCTTGATAGCATCAGTGTTTATGTTTGCTGCCAATATAATCTTATTTTAGACATTATTTTCTCTGGGTTGCAAAGAAAAGCTATTCAGAGTAGTCAATGRTGTTCAGTTTAGTATAATTATCTAATCCGATTTGTCAACTTTTGTTGCTTTAAGCAAGTTTTGATTTTTTTTCTTCCTCACGCAGTGATACAGTATCATTTCCACTGAGCTCCCAGCACAGGTCACTGAGACAAGAARTGTCAAAAGGCCAGCCAGTTGAAGCAAGCAAACAACACCGCTAAGATAAATAGATTCTCTCTGACAGTACTGTTGAAATCATTGTGCGAGACTGACTGCAGGCTCACAGCGGGCCCCTCCCCTCTCCCCTCAAAGCATGGAGAAAAAGAACAATTTGTTGGAAGGAGGCAACTGGGAAAGCCCTGACAACACTACACTTAACTTCTGGATCCCATTAATCTTAAACCTCTCCACAAAGTATTTTTTTTTTTTTCATTCTCTGCATAGTTTCAGACATCTCCTAAACTCTATCAGAAATACTCAACTGTCCAAGTTACATTAAAAAAAACTATTTTTGTTTGTTAGATAATTACCAACAAACAAAGCTATCATCTATGAAACTGCACAAAGTCTACACCTCATTTCAGGTGGTGCTTTGTGGTGTGGATTGGATTTCTCACCTTCCTTATGTCTTTGCCTCAAGGGAGCAACATTTTTCCTCCATTTGCCTTCTAACCTGGTGTAGTCTGCCTGGACAACAACATATTTACTTCATTCATTATTAGAAGGTAAAAAAAAAAAAGTATTAATTCATCCTTACTGGGTTTGAAGGGTAAGTAGCATCGAGACAATAACCAAATACACTTGAATAAGTGATCATCAGCAGGTGTTAGCACCTCTGTGAAAGTAGACATTGTACTGGTCTGAAGCAACCAGCCATGCATTGGCACAATGTCAATAAGGCACAAAGCAGCCAGGCTGTTTGATTTTTTTTAAACTTCCTGGATGCTTAATGTCTCTTTTTGCTCGGCGTATCTGCTGTGTACAGCTGGTCACACCTTCTGGCAATGATGGAGTGGGCATGTTATTTAGCTAAATGACACTAACCCTTTCTGTATTTCTTTTCTTTTTGTGTGCTTATTTCCACAGAAGGAATTTGTAACATGACAATGGACTCCAACTCAATAGCAATGCCGATGTCGGACCCAAATGCCTGGGCAGCCATGAATAACTTAAGAATGCCTCCGATAGGAATGACTGGACAGCCCCTTATACCAGGTACTGCACATTTAATTTTTAGATTTACATTATTTACATGCAGATGGGGACATCTTTTATTTTATAGACCGTTTTTGGTTTACAAATACAACGCATCTTCTCACTGAGTTTATGCTTTAATCATCTACATTTGCAACAAGTAATAACTTAAGGTTCTGAATATTCAATTAAATACTTGCAATAATTGTACAATACAGTTATTTGATTGCTGTGTTTATATTTTCTATTTTGAAGACAGTAAATTTCAAATAAAGGGAAAAACAGCCAAATGTATGTRGGTATGTATAGATGTGTGTGTGTAGTGTAAAGTTTTGTCTTACATTTGTTCCTAATTGTTTTTTATTAATATTATTATCCTAGCAACTCCATGTACACACCAAAATGTGTTTATCGCAGAGGTTCTCAAACTGGGGTCCCAGGACCCCCAGGACTCCACAAGTCCACATGTCTTGGGGGGGTCCTCAAAATATTTCAGTTAATTGTTAATTGGGTTTTTATTTTATAAAATGCATATGGTAACAATGATGTAGTAAATTAAACATTCTAAACCAAACAAAGAATAATGACATTTAGGGGTTAAAATTATTTTTAAAACAGCATGGGGTTTATTC